TGCATACAAAGTATTCGTCACATAAAATTGGAAAAATAAGAAGAAACAAATAAATGATATCCAGATTGCTTCAGTGAGTCAAAGGTATTTGATAATGCTGATTTCATTGATGCCTTGATTTCTTTAGATGGTGATGAGAAGCTCGAAAAAAATGATATAGTTGTTGTGATAGTGGTGTGGGACTAGGGTGATGGCAGACCGTGAAGAGAGAAAGGGAGACCTGTGAAAGAGTGGTGACGGAGTTTAGGTCGTTGTGGCCGTAATGGGCTATGGTAATGGTAGATCGTTGTCGCAGGAGTGGGTTGGCGTGGTGGTAAGGGTAGAGGATGAAGGAGTACTGGTTGTGATCGTGGTGTGGGGCTGTGGTGATGGCAGATAGTGGGTAGAGAGAGAAGTTTTAGTAGAGAGAGAGAGAAAGACATCTGAAATTGAGTGAAGGGAGAGAGAAAAAATTGGATGGGATGGAATTTAAATTTAAAATATTAAGAGGTAAAATGTTAATTTTGTACTGTTGACCGAATGAATTTAAGACCGTACCTATTTTATATTATAAATTTTTATTGAATTGTGACATCATGTGATAATAATGACATGATATCACTATTACACTCGATACTTTTTCATATATCATCTCCAACTTTTACTTTTTTTAAACTCAAATTTATATTTAAGTAAAAAATAATTTAAAAAACTTCTCTAATACTTTCAAATCTATACCAAATTAAGAAAAACTCAAATTTTTGTTCAAATACTCAAATCATCAATGGTTATATTTTATTTTTTTAAAGATCTAATGGTTATATTCTATCCTCCTTTAAATTTAAATTTTGTTCTCATTTAAATTTGGGCTTGTCTTTCTTTAAATTAAATTTCTCCATTTGAGAGGTCTTATATCAAATCAAAATTTTTATTCTTTTTTTTTTTACTCTAATTTTGAATATCCATTAGAGATGGTCGGCTATCCTATACTATGCACAAAATTTATAATATTTTTTCATTCAACATCTAGCCCCACCACATATTAAATACTAACATTTGCATGTGCCTAAATGCACTATGTAGCAAACAAACAAATCGCAAAAAAATGTGTATACCTAAATGCATTATAAAAAACAAAAAATCGCCAACTAGAAAAACTTGGGAAAATCACCAATTAATATCACCCCACAATTTTTAAAAAAAAAATAGTCACTATAGTTTCTTCTGAAAACATGCCCTTGAATAATATTAACATTGTTCAATGGCAATTTAACTTTTGTTACAATACAAATTAGTAATTTAATATCCAAGTAGTGGTGAATCAAAAAATCACCATGGTGTTACCAAGATCAACATGGTTGTAAACACTTAAATATAAAGAGTAATTTATATAGAGCAAACTTGTAATGGTTAAACCTTTTCAATAAGATCAAATTAGCACAACAATTTAATTTAATTTAAAGACCAAAATTGTACCAACTGCATCCAAATGCACCTATTCACAATAATAACTTATGCTAATAGCACTACCTTACACAAAAAAATCAACTAATAGTCATTGAATATCATTATTTCTAGTCAATAAGAAAATTTTTCTCCATGGTTTACTACACTCGTCCTTATAATTTTCAACGTACCTTTCAGTTGGAGTAAGGCTATTGGTCTAATAATTATCGCCCCCACTATTAGACCTTAAGGTCATAGATTTGAACTTCATCATTCCCTTCCTTGCTTGACAAAAAAATAAAAATAAAAAAGAATATTCTTTTCCAATAAGAGTGCTAGATCCAATGAATGACAACTTGCATGCAAAATTTTCTTCCCTTAATTCTACTGAATTTTTTTACTTTCTCTATTATCTTCAATACAGTCACCATTACAGCTATCATACCCTAACTGACTTGGGTGCATAATGGTGGTTTTGGTGGCACATTGCACCAAGGCACGCCATAAGATGGAATCAAGATGATGCAGCTAAGTGGTTTGACAGATTGGTCCGGACTGTGGCAGCATGAGACTTCCTGACTGAGCATGGTAGCACGTGGTGGACTCAATTGAGGCAATGTGGGTGCATAGCTTCGGATTGCATGGCATGGGCTGAACCCAGCATGCACGATGGTTCGAGAGGCAAGATTGACTATTGAATGTGGGAACATGACTAGTACATGGCTGCTCAATGCATGTGACTACGAGGATATGAGTAGTTGTAGATGCTGAGACCTAGTCAAGGCAGTTACTGAACAATGCTTAGTTTGTAGGAAGCAGTTATGGGTGTTTATAGCCTTAATCTGGTCCTGATGCATACTAATGAGGGACAGTTCCACATCAGTTACTGAATGGATGGAACTGCCTCCCATGTGTCGCACAGAGAATAGGCTTGCTGACCAAGTTTGCTAGGGAATAACAGAATGTGTGTAATAACCCTTTGGCAGATGGGGATGTCATCTGTCATACTCCTTATATAAATAGGGGTGCTTGGGCATTTTGGTAGACAGAGAGTTTTCTTCCTGAGTTTCCTTGTAAATTGTGTTGAGTTCAATATATAAGGTTTGAGAGTGTTGTCTCAGTAAATTGGTGTGTGCATTTGTGTGTGAGTTTTCTGTTCCTATTCTTGAGATTGTGTGTGACTGATTACAGTGGCAATGCCTTCACAGGTACTCAAAGAAAAACGAGTTGTTATCCCGTGACAATTTCGTATCAGAGTGTTGGTTTTGGCAAAAAAGATCAACTACGGCTAGCGGAACGAATACAAATCTAAGGAAAAGGATGACGCGTTTGCAGGAGTTGGTTGGTCCTCTACAGTCCGGTGATGTTGTGGCCCTTTCTGTTTAACTTGAGTTGTTGTACCAGCGGTTCAAGGAGATGCGTGTTGTACAAGAACAACTTCAAAAGGCTGAATCTGGTCATTTCAATCGATTGAAAATCGAAGTCGTTGACGTGTTAGCCACGATTTTCACATGGACTGATGATATGGGAAAAAAATTGAGTTCCCTCAAGACAGACTTTTCGTTACTCAAGGAAGAACTACAGAATGCTTATTTGGCTTCTGGTAGTGAAAGCACTCAGAAAACAAAGGTGTCTAACCCTAAGCCTTTCACAGGCAGTCGTAACGCCAAAGAACTCGAGAACTTCTTGTGGGATATGGGGCATTACTTTAAAATAGTCCATATGTCGGATGCTGAAAAAGTAGATCTCATTAGCATGTACTTGTCTGATGATGATAAATTATAGTGGCGAACATAATCTGAGGACAAATCTTGTCCTCAAATTACTCCTTGGGATTCTCTATCCGTTGAAATGAAGGAGCAATTCCTTCCAAGCAACACAGCTTGGTAAGCCCGATGCATTGAGGAAACTTCAACATACAAGCACTATGAGGGAGTACGTGAAACAATTCTCATCTCTGATGTTTGAAATCAAAAACATGTCGGAGGAAGATAAACTGTTCAACTTACTTAAAACTAAACTCAAACTTAAATTTTGGTAAAAAAAACCCACAAAAACTCTCTCAAATCTTTGACTCAAACCTATATCAAATCAAGAAAAACTGTTTTCTTCACTCAAATTGATGGATCATCAAATTTTTACTTAAAATCTTTTGAGCCATCAAACCTTCTCTTTCTCTGTAATCTGCCTTCTTCCCCGCCACCCTCCCTCTTGCTCTCAATCTGCTGTGGCTTTTGAATAGAAATTGTAATTGCTTGCCATGATTTGTTTTTGTGCATTGTAGATTGAAATGCATACTTTTGTAGATGTTTATAATTTAGAACAATCAAATTATGTGTTTAGATTGAAATGCACACAGAATATTTGGATGGAAAGAAATAGAGAAAAGAGAAGAGGAAAAAATGTTTGGAGATTTTTTTTTAAAGAAATGAGCTCTTGGGACAATATGAGAATGTTTTAAAAAGATTTAAGTATAAATTTGGTTTTTTTCCATTTGAGAGGTTCATACTAAATCAAGCTTTTTACTCATTTTTTTTTTACTTAAATTTGAGTTGGAGTCAACATTAGAGATGCCGTTATGCTATCTCTAGTCCTTATTTAAACCTTTACTCAAATTTGAATTTATGTAAAAATAAATTGAAGACGAGCTTCAATCTTTAACTCAAAGCTATACCACATAAAATGAGACTCAACTTTTTACTTAAATTAAGACAGACTCAAATATTTACTCATATCTTCAATGGTCAAATTTCATTCTTTTAAAATATCCAATGATCATATTTCACCTTTCTTTAAGTTTTAGTTTGTCCATTGGAAAAATCTATATCAAATCAAACTTTTTACCAAATTTTTTACTCAAATTTGAGTTTGAGTTTGAGTTTGGGTCGATATTGGAAATGCCCTTAGAACATATCTAACCTTGACTTAAATTTTTACTCAAATTTAAGTCAATATTTAAGTAAAAAACTTGATTTGATGCAAAACATTTCAATAAAAAAAATCAAAGTTAAAAGAAGATAAACTCAAATTTAAAAGAGAATAGACTAGTCATTGATATTGAGTAAGTGCTTGAATCTACTTTGATTTGAGTAAAAATTTGAATGTACCATTTCTTTTGTACAAGTTTTAGTAAAACATTGAACAATATTTTAAAGAATTTTACTTAAATTTAAAAAAGAGTAAAAACTGGAGATAACCTCGGTTATCTACAACATATCACAAATGCAGAACGCGGCAGACACAAATTAAAGCTTACGGGACATATTTGTAATTTCACATTCCCACCGAATAATGGCTCCACAATTCAAAATTTTCAAACCCTATAGAACGGTCCTTTACATTTGAATCCAAACCCGTCCTGACCGTTCATCCAAACCAATCTCCAACGTCCGATCCCCCCATCCTCAAACTCCCTCACTTTCATCTTCAAAACCCTCCAGTCTCTCACTCTCTCTCGCCCTCTGCACACACTGAATCAGTCGGTGCCCTTGAAATTTGTCCACAGTTTTATCGTCCCACATTTTTCTATAATCCCATCTTCAACCCTAGCTTCCAAAGCCCAAGTTCTTTGAACGATGCCGTTGATTTCGGAGACAACAAGTGCGATTAAGAGTCGGTTTAGTTCCCAAGACCATGCTTCCGATTCGATACGGTCTGTACACAGCTCTCCCGATCTTCTGAAAACCGGCTCGAAAGAGAATCCTTTGCAGTCTTCGGCTCTTCGGGGTATGGACGAGAGGGATGATGATGTAGGAAGGCTGAAGCAGAGTTTCGAGCTCTGTGAAGACCCTTCTTTCTGGAGGGATCACAATGTTCAGGTACAGGGTTGGAGTAGTTGTGTTGTGTGTTTGGTTGGTGAGGAAAGTTAGGAAAAAAAAAACGAAAATCAAACGGGACGAGAAAATAAAGCTTGAAATTCATTTTGTCATTGATGCTAATACTATTACATGGGGTAGGTTAAAACAAAGAGGGAATTGGTTGCTGGCTAATTAATCTGAGATCCATTTAGAAGCTTGGAATTGGGCTTTTGAAATTCTGACATTGACAACCAATCCAGATTATAGGTTTTGCTCCAATTCCAATTTTATGATCCTAATTCCATGCTGTCAAAGGCAATATCAGGTTTTTAATGAAATCACGCGTTAAAGCACGTGGATAATATTTGAGAAGTGCCACTTTACCTTAATTAAAATGCCAATATGTGCTATACGGATTTATGTCAACTAAACCCGATAATATCTTTTATTGTGCTTTAAATGGAAGTGCTTAGTTCATGTGATACATTGATGAACTTGTTCTTTTTGATGCCAGTGCTGCTAATTTTGGATATGTCCAAGTTGGTCTTATACTTCTTAATAGACGGTGTTGTTGTTTTCTTTTTTCTTTCTTTTAGGTAAGTTAATATATGGTTTTGTCAGTATTAAACTTTCTTAAAAATGTAGTCAACCCCTAAAAAATAATTTTTTTGGGAGGCCTAAAAATATTTTATTAGTTGGATTATTGAGTGTACAGTAAATGTCTTCAATTTTTCTTGGTGAAAGAAGAGCGCATACTTATGCAGTTAGCATGTTTTTAATGTTGAATATTTTTTTTCCTNTTTATTAGTTGGATTATTGAGTGTACAGTAAATGTCTTCAATTTTTCTTGGTGAAAGAAGAGCGCATACTTATGCAGTTAGCATGTTTTTAATGTTGAATATTTTTTTTCCTTCGGAAGCCACATATTATACCTAATTTGAGTTACAAGAAAAGTTCTAAAGTCCAAGTTGATTACTAATAACTCAGTATTCCTACTTAATTTCATTTGATACATACATATATGCAATATATTTTGTTTCTNCTTCGGAAGCCACATATTATACCTAATTTGAGTTACAAGAAAAGTTCTAAAGTCCAAATTGATTACTAATAACTCAGTATTCCTACTTAATTTCATTTGATACATACATATATGCAATATATTTTGTTTCCGTTGTCAATAGCGCACTATAAGAGGGTTCTAAAGCATTTCATTTACTAAGCAATATAGTCATTAATTATTCGCTCCGGAATGACGTTGGTATTTTAATGATTGGAGCGTTAAATGTACTTCTGGTGAAATTATTTGGTGTATTTGATAGAAGCAAAAGTTGCTTGACTGTGGGAGATACCAACTAATGATCTTTAATAACTGAAATAATTGTCAGATATGGTTTTGAAGTATGTCATTGGTCCTTTAGTGGAAGGCCCCATGATTCAACATGACTAGAAGCACACATTGGCTAAATAGTTTTTGTTTGTGCATAAGACATAATAGAGTACATTCACAGTTTGTCTGGATATAGTATTTATTACTTTGTTCAAATTTTCTTTCCAAATTCTCTTATAAAATGCAGGTTATTATAAGAATACGCCCATTAAGTCCTTTTGAGATATCTCTGCAAGGAAACAGTAGATGTGTTACACAAGATAGCTGCCAGACACTTACTTGGACAGGGCATCCAGAATCACGTTTTACCTTTGATCTTGTTGCAGATGAAAATGTCAGCCAGGTATATTTTGACTGGAATTAATTTTTTTCCTCACTTAAATTTCTCTTTGCCATGTTGTGGTCTTCATTTTAGTAACTTAACAGGAGATGCTATTCAAAGTGGCTGGGGTGCCAATGGTGGAAAACTGCATGGGAGGCTACAATAGTTGCATGTTTGCCTATGGTCAAGTGAGTCCTTTGCCATTGTTTTTATATTATTCTTGTTCTTCCTCTTTTCTTCCTCCTTGTATCAAGGGACTCATTATAAACAACTAATAGAGGCTAAAGTTTTGCAAAATGCAATCTTTCCGCTTAGTCTGGTTGCTTGGTTAGAGATTGCAGTTTACTTTGTCCAATTTCTTTTCAATGAGCCTATTTAGTGCTAACAAGTTGTTTGACTTTGATAGTGTTGTTGCATATTGTAATCAAATAGTTTACATGTAGACTGGAAGTGGAAAGACTCACACAATGCTTGGAGACATTGAAAGTGGCACTCGAAGACACAGTGTCAATTGTGGGATGACACCTAGAGTCTTCGAATACTTGTTTTCAAGTATTCAGAAGGTATGTATAGTTAATTTAAGATACATCTCAAGCATAGTAGGGACATTGAATGCCTGCTAGCAGAGTAGAAGATGGTTTTGTAATTTTCCATGCCAATCACAATGAGTTGCTTTGTTAACATCCAATTAAAGAGTAATAGTTCCTAGCTACAATGTAGTTTAAAGAGTAATTATATATTAGAGAAAGTCTTGCGTCCAAATTCTTCCATTTTGGCAATGTTAACAATATGTTGCCATTATATATTTCACGTTTGTAAGAGAAGCTTCCTGTCCTTTCTTATTGTTTCTTCTGACCACATGGTGCATTTCTTTAATTGGAAATTTTTTTGAATTACTAATAGCTTAATTGGTCAGAAGATATTCTATGCAAAGTTATGGGCTTATGCGTGTACTAGAGCATGTAGGTTCGAGGGAGGCTGTTGGACGTGGATACCAGTACTTAAATCTTTGTCTTTCTGCCTATAGGGGTTAGATTATTTTATAATATCGTGAACTTGTATTGGTTGAGTTCTAAGAATTCTAATGATTCTTCTATGGATCAATTGTGTTGTCACAGGAAAAGGAGGCTCGTAGGGAGGAAAAAATAAGATTCATTTGTAAATGCTCTTTTTTAGAAATTTACAATGAACAAATTCTTGATCTCTTGGATCCCTCTTCCACCAATTTACAGGTATTTTGATCACTAGTATGTTGAAAAACCTCCCTTCATGCCCCCCGGTTTATACATAATCTATGGATCATATTTCAATTTACACTGATAGAGGCTTCTTAGAAGAAAATTCCGAATTGGGCTTACATGGTCATGAAGAAGTACTTCAAGTCATTCATTGACCGAATATTTGCAGTATTTTTTTAACCATTAGGAAAGGATTACTTAAAGTTTTATGGCATACTACAGATGAGAGAAGACACTAAGAAAGGGGTTTATGTAGAGAATCTCACTGAGGTAGAGGTTACGAGTGCTCGAGATGTGATTCAACAACTTGTTCAGGTATGGTTGTCTTTGAGTAATTTCATCCCTTGTCTTCAGTTTCAACCTCAACAAAGCACGAGTTATTTTTCTTGTTCTTCAGCTTGAATTACAACAATTCCTTAAGAAATTTATTACTTTATCCAACAAATGATTCTTATATGGTATCTCATATTCTATTTTGATAGCCTGTAGGAAATACCACTATTTTTGCTTGGATGCCAGTTCTTGATATCTATCTAGGTTGAGGCTTCTTGATGACATACCTTCAGCCTGTAATTGTCATGAAAATAGAAATATCCCGAGCTTTTACTTTGAAATGGAGATGAAAGCTAAGGATAAAATATTGTCCAAAAAGAAAAAAAAATATTAAGGATCCAAAAAAGTGGTCAAGATGATGAATCCTAAAGTTGAGTAACTACCAGTGAACTTCTACTTGTTGCCCTTCAAAATAAAGAAAAGAAGCCCCGTAGAAAGCAGAGAAAATTTGGCATTATTTTGCACTACATTTTTTTTCCAATTTGGGAAAATACAAGTTGAAAATTTTAAACCAGGCACGTTTAACAGATGTGCAATTACTTTTCCATTATGGGACCAGCTTTTGTTTTCTCTTGTCCTTATTCTTATCGTGATTTATTTCCACATCTGTCACTTCATTGATCGATTTGTGTATTGGTTTTTAGATAATGCAGTAATTTACTCCCTTCATCATTGTGATGGAATAGATGTTAGAATTTAAAGGAATATTTCTTTCTTTATGGTTATGAAACTGACACAAAATGTCAATGTTTTTATTAACCCCCCCCCCCCCCCCCAAAAAAAAAAAAAAAAAACCAACGCGCACACACAGAACAAAAGGTAAGCAAGCATGATTCCACTTTTTGGGCAGTACTGGTTTCCTTGATGTTCCAGGGCGCGACCAATAGAAAGGTAGCTGCAACTAACATGAATCGTGCTAGCAGTCGTTCTCATAGTGTGTTCACATGCATCATAGAAAGTAAGGTGAGTAAATGTTTCTTTTCACTGATTCTCTCACGATTTTTTTTTTTGTTAATTCAGCTGAGTTGTAATTATATGGCCATTTTCAGTGGGAGACACAAGGTGTGACTCATCATCGGTTTGCTCGGCTTAATCTTGTGGACCTAGCAGGCTCTGAAAGGTGAAATAACAGATCTAGTGAAAAACTCGAAATGGAAGATTAATGTTTTAGCAAGAGGCTGAGAGCATTGACATATAAATTTTTTAACATGTAGCTTGTTATATTCCTTTTTGAATCACAGGCAGAAGAGTTCTGGTGCGNGTGAAAAACTCGAAATGGAAGATTAATGTTTTAGCAAGAGGCTGAGAGCATTGACATCATATAAATTTTTTAACATGTAGCTTGTTATATTCCTTTTTGAATCACAGGCAGAAGAGTTCTGGTGCCGAAGGTGAACGCCTAAAGGAAGCTACGAACATCAACAAGTCTCTTTCGACATTGGGGTTTGTTATTCCTACATTTATCCTAGATTCTGTATAAGTAGATAATCAAGTTTATTCTGAATAATTTTTGTTTTTCTTGTATGTTGTAATATGGTTTGTTTTTCCTTTTTATTAATCTATTAATTTTTTTATTTGAGATATTCAGACTGGTGATTATGAATCTTGTGAGTGTGTCTAATGGGAAATCACTTCATATTCCTTACCGGGATTCAAAGCTGACATTTTTGCTTCAGGTGAGTAGTTCTCTCATGGATCATAAAAAAATATGAATACATTTTAAAATCTGCTTTAGCAAATTTACATTCACATCTGGAATCTCAACAACAATGTGCCTTACAGTTATGTTAGTCCTGTCTCAATCATGTTTCGGCAATAGTTCAGAAGAGCAGTTATCAGGGCTTATAGGACTTCTACACGCAGAAGAATCAATTTGTTATGTGAACCTTTAGTAAATAGTAACTGACAGTCAATAGTGTTTCTATTTCTTTTTGCAGTACAAATGATACCATCCATGTGAACACTTTTTCCTACTCATGGGCATAGTATTGATTGGGAAAAAGTTTTACTTTTCCAACCTTGTCTTCTTTTTTCTTACAAAATTTATTTGGAAGTTTTAGTGTCTTACAGTGTTTGTGTACTTGCTGTAGCGTATGTCTGCTCTTATGCAAGTAGTTTGTTACTGGGAGGTCCTTACTCCTTGTATTTATCTAAAAAACTTACAATAAGGTAGAATATATTTGACATTTTCATCTTCCTTCCTCTCTTTTCAGGACTCATTGGGAGGGAATGCAAAAACAATTATCATTGCAAATATTAGTCCCTCTAGTTGGTTAGTTTATTCTATAACTCACATTGCTACTTGCTTTGATCTTTTGGATTGACGGTTTTGTGACTTTTGTCCAAAAATTGAACTTTTGAAATCTATGTTCATGAAAGTTTATACCATCAAAATGGCATTATTTTGTATGCTGATTCCCCCTAAATTATTGTAAAGTTTATGAAATCTTTATTTTTTATTTTTTTTATTTCAAATCACTATGGTTCTGCAAGAGTTGAAATTTATTTGATTGCATTCATGGCCGCTATATTTCTGTGTGTTTAACAATATTCCTTTGTTGCTTATATGTATGCATGACAATTATTTGGCCCTTGCAGCTGTTCACTGGAGACTTTGAGCACACTGAAGTTTGCCCAACGTGCTAAATTCATTAAAAATCATGTATGTCATCTTGCTTTTTAATTTGTAAATTTAAATTCATGTCCATTATACGAAAGTAAGTGGATGCATTCTGATGGGTTAGTATTTGAACTTCATCATTCCGAAAGCATAGAACTATCTGTTCTTATTTTTCTTAAAAAGTTTATGTAGCATGTAATAGATTAAGTGGGAGTGCAGGCCTTGGCGCAATTGTAAGGTTGTTCCATTGTAAGTCACATAAATGGCCTCTTTGCATGAGGAGTAGGATGAGAGGCTCGTGCATTTTTAATATATTAAGTGGGATGAGACTCTAACACTTTTTTTTTGAGGACTTCAGAAAGAAGATTCTAACGTCGTTGATTTACTCCTTTGGAGTAGAATGACTGAATGTTTTTGGTTATTTCCTCTTTTAACAGTTATATTTGAGTATGGCTAATTGAAAGCTGTCCTATCTGTTTTTCCCTGTTCAGGCTATTGTGAATGAAGATGCCTCTGGAGATGTCCTTGCAATGAGGATACAGATTCAACAACTCAAGGTATTATCCACGATTTAAGTTTTCCCCTTCCAAAAATCAGATGCTTCGTACTGTTATAGTTTCAATTTATATTATGGAGTTATGACATTATCGTAAAATAGCTTGCTTTTACACATTTTCTTTGTCAGAGTAAGCGACACATCCATGTGACATGTTTAAGTTCAACATGGGACCTTCACTCTGGTAAAAGCCTGTATCCTAGGACTTCTAAGGATGAATCTAAACAAATTTGTACTTATGGTCCACAAGATACACTTGGTTACTGTCTGATTGTTCGCATCTTATACCTCGAAGCCTATAACGACATTTTATGTTCACTACTTCCTGAAGTGTCCATTTGATTAAGGGTCTTTCTTCAATCTTGACATATTATGTACTTGAAATATGTTGAAGGATGATTCATGTGGTGTTGGACAATACTTCTCTTGGTTGTCTATCACAACTGCAATTTTCTGAATTTCGATTTGTTGTACTGTAGAACTATTTAACCAGTTGAATTTATTATTTACTTATTTGGGAAACATTACATACTTGTAATGCTCCAAAGAGAGTAGTTGTTAGATTCTCTTTTCATCAATTATAACAATGATTGAATTCAAGAAAATTTTGTTTTTTCATTGGGAATAAGCTAGTAATCCCTCAAGTTATTTAGTGTGTAATGTTATAGATATTTGGTGATTTGGAAATGTTAATCAAAATGTAATGTGTTATCCCCAGAAAGAAATATCTCGTCTGCAGAATGTAGTCAATGGAGGAGCTGAAAACCATGAAAGTGACGCATGGACAGTATCTTTTCCAGGATCTCCGGGATCCTTTAAATGGGAAGGTCATGGGTCATTCAGTCCTCTTACATCTAATAAAAGGATGTCACATGTAAGTACCTTCCTTCCACAACACAGGAAGAAATGCTGGACATTAGTCTAACTTTAAGTTTGTTTGCTTCAGAAGAAAGAATATGAAGTTGCACTTGTTGGAGCTTTTAGAAGGGAGGAAGATAAAAACATTGCCTTGCAGGCATTAGCTGCTGAAACTCAGGCAGCCATGCAGCTGGTATGTCTGATTCATTGCTTATTAATCTACTTGTTTAGTTTGATGCTAAATGCTTCTGGTCANAACTCAGGCAGCCATGCAGCTGGTATGTCTGATTCATTGCTTATTAATCTACTTGTTCAGTTTGATGCTAAATGCTTCTGGTCACTGTTAATATTAAAAATGTTAGGTGAGAATATAAAAAGCCTGCTTGCTATTTTTTTGGAAAAAAACTGCTTATTCCAAATCTAGGAAAGGTCTAGTGCTTTTTAATGAATGGAAGTAGTTGGCTTGCAAGATTTAATCATGTGCAGAGGATCATAGAGCCAAATCAATTATTGTACCATATTATGTTCGATTCAAAAAGTTTTCAACATTTGGAATCTCAACTTTTCAAGTAAAAAGGACCTGATCTGGAATTCATGTTTTAAGAACTGATATGTTATCTCTGGTGAATCAGGCCAAACAAAGAGAAGATGAGATACAAGGCTTAAAAATGAGGTTGAGGTTCCGAGAAGCTGGTATAAAGAGGCTAGAAGCAATTGCTTCTGGAAAGATCTCTGCTGAGACACACTTGTTAAAAGAAAAGGAGGAACACTTGAAGGAAATAGAGGTCCTACGCACTCAGGTAGATCGAAACCAGGAAGTAACAAGATTTGCGATGGAAAATCTGCGTCTAAAAGAAGAGATCCGAAGGTATTTTAACAATATAAGCTCAAATACTTTTTCAACATAAGATGTTTTTTATGGCATGATAGAAAATGTGCAATACAAAATGCTTGCCCTGATATAAACTGGTCACAGATATAGGACATATTACAACTAAGAATTGATCACCAAAAACCATGCAACATTGTTTCCAAATAAAATCGGATTTTTTTTTGTCAAATTGAATTTAAGGCACTTGTTGGTTTTAGTAAGATATATTGAACAACTTACTGGTTTCTAATTTTGTGTTTACTTTCTGATTGCTTATTAATGCTCGGAAGTGCAGGTTGAAAACATTTACTGAGGAAGGCGAACGGGAAAGAATGAATGAACAGATTGCTATATTACAAAATAAGGTGCAAAAAGTTGATCATCAAAAATTAAGATTTCACATCCTTGCAATGTGTTCACTGTTCTCTTGTTTATGTAGTTAAAGGGTCATGATTTGCTTTGTANCGGGAAAGAATGAATGAACAGATTGCTATATTACAAAATAAGGTGCAAAAAGTTGATGATCAAAAATTAAGATTTCACATCCTTGCAATGTGTTCACTGTTCTCTTGTTTATGTAGTTAAAGGGTCATGATTTGCTTTGTATGTGATCTTATCTTGTGACATGCAGTTGCTCGAAGCTCTTGATTGGAAACTAATGCATGAGCCAGATCCCTTGGTTGTTCAGGTTCTTCCCAAGCTTTATAAATACAAGTGTCAGGTTTATAAATTGTTTATAGCATATATAATTAACCTAAATTAGTCAATGTTCTTCTGCTACAGAAAGGAGGTTCTGAGGTGGCAATGGGTATTCAGAGTGATGGCCTATTGATTTCAAGTCAGGTAAGATATTTTCTAAACAATTGTGTTCTCCACCCTGGCTCATTCCTCTATAAAATTTTTGTAATGTAGCAAAGGAAGTCAGGTTAGGAAAATTAAATAGTAAGATGAACTTGTATAGGTGAGGCTGTAACCTGTCAGTTCTGCTAAATTATGCTCTGGAGCACCTTTTATTATGTCACAACAAGAGGAGGTTCAATCGTTCAAACCCTCAAAAGTGTGCCTGCCTCACATGGGTGCAACCACTGATGCATTCAGAGCTTTGGTTTAGACAGACATCAGCACCAGCATCATTATTTGCACTACTGCTATTGTCATTCTTGTCAACCATGCATCTATGTTATTGACCATTTTAAATCAGCAAAGTTTTATGCTCTTATGCCAGCACATGACCTTTACTGACGAGAATGTACTGTGATACTTGGCTGCCAAAAAAATGTTCGCTTATGTGTGATATTTTTCCTTAACAGGAGCCAGCATCACCTTGGCGTACTTCAATTAATGAGGAGAATGAGTTCCTCCGTATGCAGGTATAGCTGCTTTGTATTAAAGTTCCTTCTTAAAGGAAAAAAGGTGGTGCTTCAGTACTAGAAGTGTTCACATCTGCATTAGTTTTCTTTACAAACAAGCAGAATTGTATAATGTCACAGGCCATTCAAAACCAATCAGAACTTGATGCACTTCGCAAGAAACTCAATCTCTGCATTGATGAGAAAGATAAACTGGAAAGGTAATAGTTCAATTCCTATAATGATTCTATCCATGTTTTCTGATTGTTGTCTAGCCATGAAAAATTCTCATATTTCTTGATCTGGATATTCAGTGTTTCCTTATCCTGCTGTATTCTTATCTGACGGTGCTTCCCTCCCTTAGAAGACAGTAAGTCCGAATTTGTGAAAAGGCGCACTATGCTATGGAATTGGAATTGGAATTGGAGCACCATTTCTTCAAGTTTTAAACCACTCTGGCTCCTTTCCAATTCTAAATCATAGATTTGGTTGTCCCAAATTCAGCTTAATGATGTCAATCACAAATGCCGGGTTCTTGCTGTTATCAGTTGATGCTTTGAATAAAATGATGCCTTCCTCCAGGGCCCCATTGTCTTCTAATAAAGAAATTTTGCAGGCATGTTAAAAACTTGGAAACAAAGCTAGAAGCAGAGAGATCCTCCAAAGTGGCCATGAAGGAAGAAACACAAAAGTTGCAAATCGACCTTCCTTCTCTAACAACTGATCAGATGCCCAATATTGCTCTTAATGATCAGACTGAGCTTAAAACTATGGTTGATGCAATAGCTGCTGCAAGCCAAAGAGAAGCACAAGCTCATGAAACAGCAATTGTCTTGTCAAAAGAAAACGATGAACTCAGGATGAAGCTTAAGGTGTTGGTTGAGGATAACAATAAATTAATTGAACTATATGAGCGAGCTGCAGAAGAGAATAATAAAAACTGTAATAGGGCTCAGAGTTCTCAAGAAAACAAAGCGGAGGATGAGTACAATGACTTGACTGAATTGGCTGTGGGGAGGGAGTCCGAGATGAAAAAGGAAGTTGAGAACTTAGAGCATCAGCTTATGGAAATGCATGAAGAGAATGAGAAATTAATGAGTCTGTACGAGAAAGCCATGCAAGAGAGGGATGAATTTAAGAAGATTCTTGCTTCTGGTGGACAGAGGATTGTTGAAAATAAAGGAGGATTTGATTGTGCAGAAAAGCTTGTTGAAGTTGATGGAGAGGAGCGTCACAAATCTGATGAATCTTCTGCATTTGGACCACTTGTGCTCAGTGAAAGGGAAGATCTTCAGTTAGAGAATCTAGCTGAACATGGTCAGTCAGAAATCGCATTGGATGAAACTAATTTATTTGCAGCGAATGTACAGACTGGGTACATCCAATGTTCTGGAAAGTCAGAAATAAATGATTATCTTGAGTTACAAGAGTCTCCTAGCAGTTTGGAACCAAAAAAATTTATAGAGAGTGGTTACTCAGACTTCAATGTGCAAGATAGAGCTGAAAGCAGTGAGACAGGAAAACTCACAGTAGTTGATAAAGGTTACATGATGGAGGAAACTTGTTTCCCTGGATTGAATGAACGGGATGGGTCCAGCCATTGTCCTGAGGATCTTCATATTAATGCTGGGGATCAGAATGGTGACAATGATCAGGGGATGGATGCAAAGTCAATTGGTGTCGTTGGAGTAAAGCAGCCACATGATCTAAAATTGGTCAGAATGAAGCTTGACAAAGCACAAGAAAAGCTTCTAAGTTCTGCCCAAACTATCAGTATATTTGGTTCACTCGAGAGGGCAAGCATTGAGGTTGATAAACTTTCAATAGAAATGGAAGCATTAGAAACTGGTATGCAGTTGATGCAGCAGGAGTGTGCATCGTCCCAGTTCCTTTCTTCTGAGATGCAAGAAAGAAGGGATGTGATGGATAAAAAGTTAAGGGCACTGAAATACTCATTATCCAACTTTTCTTCATCAATTGGTTACTTTGAACAGCGTGAAGCTCAAGCAAGGGCAAGGGTAGATGCTTCATCAGCTTATTTAAACCGAAAGAAAGAGGAACTGACCTCTCTTCAAACACGTAAATATGAAATTGAGGTTGCTCAGATGAAAATTCAACAAACTCAGGTTGAATTAAAACGCAACCTCGTGGACTGGATATCCAGAATAGAAGAAGAAAACCGAAGACAAGAGAATGAAAGGGTTCTCTTTGCCATAGATAATGTTGAGAAAACAGATATTCACCCTGCACAAAAGAACTGGCCTTTGAGTGGTAAAGCTACCGAGTTACTAAAGTCTGAGGAAGAGAAAACAAAGCTACAAACAGAAGTGAAGCAAGCTCAAGAAAAGCTTGTGGTCTTTAGAAGGGAAGTTGAAGATTTAGACAGGAAACTTGGGAAGGTGGATAGGGAAATTCAAGTTGTTCAAATGGAGATACAGAAAGGTTTGAAATCTGTGGAGGAGATGGAACACAGGCTTGGTAGTGTCATCCAAGAGAGAGATATGGTATTGGAAATGAAAGAGAATGGAAGGAATGAAGTTGAAAATATGATTCTGGAGTACCACCAAGGTGTATTTGAAGCAGCATTGAAAGAGGAAGAGATGAAGATCTTGGAGGAAGAATTAGATATGGAGCTGAGAAGAATAGAAGAGTTGCAAACTGCAAAAGCTATAGCGTCTAGGAGAAAGACCCAGCTATTGGAGGAATTTACATGCCAATCATGCTTTGTATCTGACAAGATGGAGGAGGAGCTCCAGATTATACAGATGTCGATTATGGAGTTGAAGTCATTATATGGACAGGATGGTCCAAATGACAGTTAACCCTTCTTTTAAATGATGTTTTAATGTACTTCATTCTGACAAACAGTCCTTTTTTATTGTTAATAGCTAATGAAATCTGAGTTTTGTTGTTTTTTCTTTGCATGGACTGATGGTATGCTGTTTAAAACAAAGAAAACGATTAGAAGAAACTCGATGCGAATAGGAACAAATGTTTNGAGTTTTGTTGTTTTTTCTTTGCATGGACTGATGGTATGCTGTTTAAAACAAAGAAACAAATGTTTGTAGNTACTTCATTCTGACAAACAGTCCTTTTTTATTGTTAATAGCTAATGAAATCTGAGTTTTGTTGTTTTTTCTTTGCATGGACTGATGGTATGCTGTTTAAAACAAAGAAAACGATTAGAAGAAACTCGATGCGAATAGGAACAAATGTTTACATGCTCAAAGCATATGATCTGTTCTTTATTTATCATTTTTGTGACCTAGTAATTTCTGAAGTTGGGCTTCCTGGACATGTTCTTGTATCATGTTGAAACTTTTTTCAGTCTATAAATCATATAGATCAGAACTTATTTATAACTTATGAACTTAATCCTCCATTTATATTTACTAAATGGTCGGCTACTGAAGCTTGTTATACTGAGAAGCAGATCATAACTTGACATGGATATCAAGCAGGATGAAAACTTTTCAGCTCAACTTTATTATGTTGCTGGCATTGTTATCAAAGACATGCAATTGAACTTATTGAAATAACATAAATCTACTTCAAGCCTTTCAGATTTTTGCAATAACCAATTCCAGCGTTGCATCAAGGGCACCCAATCAATGAACACTCAAACTAAACTCGATTCAATCCCTTTGTTTGGTTCTACAAGATCATCAGCTCGATTCGATCCTTTTGTTGTAGAATGTAGAGTGACTAGAATTTCTATCAGTAGTTTAGGTAAACAATATTAACTTCTTTTTAGGCCTGCTGAATAGATGACAATTGCCTCTGGAAACAACGTCACTCTTGCTGAAGTTGTTTGATATTGTCCTTTGGCTAGTGGAAGATATCAAGAATGATACAAGTAACAGAATGTTCGTTTCTGTGCCACTATGTATTTCATGATACAAATTCTGAAATGTGGATTTCCTGTCTATTTAAGTTCATTGCATGAAACCCAAATGATTTGGTTCATTGTTCGAACTAGGGGAAGCAAGCACATTTGATTTAACCCATGTGCATGGTTTTCAAGTTACTGCGTGCATCCATGAATTCCTTCGCAGTTATAAGTTTAAAAGACGCGTGTCGGGATATTTCCCTGTCACCTAAAAAAGTTCAGTGAATGGTCCAAAAAGAAATTACCTCATACCATGATTTTCGAACTTCGACTGGTAAATGCGTTCTATTTTCTGGCTAACAAATGGCATAAGAGTTAAAAGTCATTACCCAAGAAGATTTTAAGATGNTTTTTGCAATAACCAATTCCAGCGTTGCATCAAGGGCACCCAATCAATGAACACTCAAACTAAACTCGATTCAACATTGTTTTACTGAGTCCATAAAACTCCATCCTCTTCAAGCTCTCATAACTTGTAATCGACAACTGATAATTCCTGTGGATTTAGAAGCTTATTCCCATACTATTCAATAGCACCAAACTTTGTGAACATCAAGCCCCAGCCGGCCACTTAACCTGCAAATTGGAGCTCATTAGGAACAAAGCCAAACAACCAAACATTATAAATTGAAAGTCAAAGTAAGCTAATTAATCATTACCAGTAAACTTGAAGTCTCATTCCTTACCCATCAATTTTGGTAAAACATTTTCTTATGTGCCTTCTAGCTCTCTCTGCCACTGCTTGGATGGTCCAAGCAAGGGATCCAGACATCTTATCCGACTTCATGGTCCTGGCAAACCCGAATGCAGTTGAAGGGAATTTCTTTACCTTCACCAGGATGTGTGGAATATTCAATCAACCGCCACAGAATTTCAAGGTGACAAAAGCTAGCACGGGAGAGTTCCCAGCTCTCAGTGGCTAGTGTCTCACTTGCTGTTCTCCAGTACCGGTGGGTGGACCCGCCTCACACCCATCCACGTGAAGCCAGAGTTACTGTTTGTTGTGGAAGGTAGTCTTGAGGTTGGTTTTGTTGATACTGCTAACAAATTCTACACTCAAACACTACAACTAGGGGACATGTTTGTGTTTCCTAAAGGACTAGTTCACTATCAATGCAATGCCAATGCCAAAGAGCCCGCTACAGCTCTCTGCCTTTGGTAGTGCAAATACCGGAACAGTGTCACTTCCAACAACTCTGTTTGCCACTGGAGTTGAAGATGGAATCCTTGCCAAGGCTTTTAAGACCGACGTTGCCACCATTCAGAAGCTCAAGGTAGGTCTTGCACCCAAAGCCTAACTTAAAGCTCCTTTAATCTTCACCATTGAGCACTTCCTGCTACTTTTTCTTCTCCAGCTCAAATTAATAAGAATCATGACATTCAATTAAACTCGTGTATTAACCGTAATAATTAAGGAAGATGTGTCCTTATGAGAATGATTGTAGTTTTGACGATATTTAACATGATGCTGTTACATGCAATGGTGGATCAACTCAGGTGAGCAGAGGAATCTCAATGAAAATAAAAATGAAATTTCTCATCCACTTGTCAGGGATTGGTTCTGGAAAACATCTCGTAAATCAGGCTTATGTAGAAATTGTACAGCAAGTTCGAAGCAATGGGTTAGGGTTTACGTATGCATCACTTGCAGTAGTTACAGACTACATTAAATGCTATCCTTTCAAATACCTCTTCAACCATACTATGAAAATCAACTCTAGAAGTCAGGTTGAAATTACATGTACCAGAAGGGGTTTTGGATAAGATTCTCCTACCCTAATTGTATTTTAACAAGTTCAGGAGGGGTATGTGAAAAGAGAGTATCGAACAAAGAAACAGAGTCAGGACAGAGAGCAAAGAAGGAACATGGTACATTTAATCGCAAATATTCTGGCTCTGAATAATCAACCACAACCTTTATGGCGTGAATTTCTCTTTTTTCCTTTTTGGGTAGATTGTAAGGTTACTTACAGTGAAATCAATTCATGTACATGCACATCAACAAAAGAAGTCAACAGCATTGCTCGCCTATGGCGTCATAGACAATCCAAGGGATTAAACTTATTTCAACTAACATTATTAGCAATTCACAATTGTCAAATAAGTTTTGAGTTCTGCAGCTGAAGCGTTCAGATGTACATGAAAGACATGATCTACAAGTATCCAAAACTTCTAAAATTGAGACCAAGAAGTTTGTTCGTACATCAATAGAGAACTCAAAAGAGCCTAATCATTTCTTTGCTTCAGAACCATTTGTAACCAGACTNAAAGACATGATCTACAAGTATCCAAAACTTCTAAAATTGAGACCAAGAAGTTTGTTCATACATCAATAGAGAACTCAAAAGAGCCTAATCATTTCTTTGCTTCAGAACCATTTGTAACCAGACTGCCTTAAATTGAAGAAGAAAAAGATACCAAACTTCAACTCATGCTAAAGAGTGACAGATGTTTTGGTCTCTATCCTATTGCCTAAAATGAAAAAGAGATGTATATGCTCACAATTTACTGGATTAGCAGCTTCTAGACCTTACGAGCCAAGGTCCTCTGTTTTGTTGCATGTTGGACAACTTTTTCCTCCACAGGAAGGCCTTTCCGCCGTCTCACTGCATCAATGAGTTTTCTTGCTGTATTCACTGGGACACCAGAACCATCTCCAAACTCTTCTATCTCCTCTTCTGTTTTGGGCACAAAGAAAGGATCATGAGGAAGTACTTCCCAATGGCTGAGAACAAGAAGAGCACTTGATGCCCCAGAAGTCCATCTCCTCAGCTCATCTCCAAACCCAAAGCTTTCTGCAACTGGCACATAAGCATGCACAGTGAACAAAGGAGACCCTTCCTGCATTTCTTCCTTCAAGATTCGGGCCCTCCTCCGAGCAAGCACTGCATACATAGGGCCCAAATATTCAGTAGGGGTGTTCAATTCACAGAAATACATGGCTTCCACAAGCCGAGGTTTCTTCTGAAGTACAGCTGCCCTGCAGGCATCCTTGACAGCTGTCATAACTTGTCCAGTGAAGATGCCATATTGATCCTGTTGCCGATGAGAAGTTTCAGATTCATCTAATTGCCCAACCAATGGCGAAATATAAGCGTCAACAACAAATGCCATGCCCCACATAGGTTCCTCACACAAAGGGCCAGCTGCTGTAGCTAATTGAAATCCAGACACAACACTACTCTCTGCTTCCTGGTACAAGGGTTGAGGTGCTACGGATGATGCCTCAGCTGCTGCATAATCAATGCTGGATGCATCCACGAAACCTAATCTCTCAGATACATAAGGGGAGCCCCGAATAAGAAGAGAAGAATCAGTAATCTTTCCTTCTGAGTCCGGCACGAGGAGGATGTTTGGACCAACCTGTCGAGGCCCCAATGCCCAGATCCTCTTAAAAAATTTCTGCCACAATACTTTGCATTTCTCAGCCCATTCTGTGTCTAACTCTTCATTCCCAGCCAGATTATCACTCAATGCAGCATCCATCATGCGTTTTTTAAGCCCTTCAACTGGATCATCATCTTCCAAGATGCTACCCCTCTGTATTTCTAAGCTTTTACAAGTCTCCCTTGGTTTACCACCTATAATATCTCCAAGAAGATCAGAACTTTCATCAACCAGCTTAGTTAGCGCGGTTGGAAGCTTCATGACCTGCACTCGAACAACAAACCTTCCATTGGGTGTTGTTTTCTCCACAAAGTCTGAGCTCCCATTTAACCACTTTTGATTCTCTAATGGATTTATTCCCTCACCCTCAATAGTCTCTTTATAAGACACAAGGGGTTCAGAGACTTCCAGGCTAATCTTTGCAAATCTCTCCTTCAAATCCTTAATGCATCTCTCAAGATGAACTTCACCTGCAGCAGCAAGCACATGCTCGCCCCTAGAAGAAACAGTGACTTCTACAAATGGATCAGCACGGTTCAAAAGCCTCAACCCTTTCATGAGTGCTCCCATGTCAGCTGGATCAGAAGGCTCAATGGCAACTTTTAGAGTGGGTGCAACCTGGAAAACCATACTCGAGAAAGGCCAACAGTTCTTTGTAGATGAAAGAGTTGCACTTTTCAATACATGCTGGCCAAGGCCTCGAATAGCAACAACATTCCCAGCCTTTGCAGAGGCTACTGGTTTCAAGCCTTGACCCATCATAAGATACAAGGAATGCAACTCAGCTTGCTGCAGGTGCTTCTGCATTGATTCCCCTTTCAATGGATCATATAGAGCAGAAAGCACAAAGACCATCTGCCCTGAGCAAATAACCCCACTAAAAATTCTTGCAAATGCAAGGAAGCACTCATCTGACTCACAATTTCCACCGTCATCTGTAGAATTCTGTAAAATCTCTCCATTTAAGCCCCTTTTTGGCAGCATTTTCAATGGAACAGCAAACATCTTAGACACAAAAGCAACACATGGTGCTTCAGGGCTGGAATCACAAACCTCAATAGATTTTCTCACAAGTTCCGCCTCAGTGATCACATCAGAGCTAACCCCATCATCCACAATTTCTCTGATTGGCAGCAAACGTGATATCCGAGAAGACTGGGCAGCAATTGGGTCAGGTATACATTTGACAACCATAGACAAAATTGTATCTGACAATGGAAGCCACCGGCTCATGACAGCTTGAAGCACAGATTTTGGGTCCTTGTTATGAAGTTCACGAGGAGGTATAGACAGATTAAATGATTTAATAACTTTCTTGAGCACTCCTTTGTCCCCATCTTCATCCACAGCAGCCTGATAAACCTGCCAAAGTGGCTCAAGCACAAATTGCACAAACATAGGCCGAGCCTTACTTCCCCCACTGATTCCCTTCTTGCCCACAATCATCTTAGTCTTGGGGTTGAAATACCGAGGACCCCATAATGCCTTTTGCAAAGCAACTGAACTTGCACCAAGCTTAGAAGCATAAAATTCTGCGAATTCACCAATACCAAAACCCCAACCATCCAATGCACATACAAAAGCAACATTCCCTTTCTGCGGTTGGAATGTATCTTCCTCATCATCCTCTATAAACTCATGATTTTCATCACCCACCTCACTTGATGGTCCAGCAAGAATTGAATCAACGTCTGATAAGTACTTCTCAGACTTGTATGCACTCATGATCCCATTAACCTCATGAACAATCCTTTGCAGCCGACTATATGCCTCCAGAGGACTCAGCTTCAATTCACAAATCAGCCTATCAATCTTATTTAGAACCAAACATGGTGTAAGCTTCTCAATCCAAGCTTGGCGCATGACCGCGTGGGTTTGAATGTGAACACCTTCGACAGCATCCACTAAAATCAAAGCTCCATCACTCAACCGAGCAGCAGTGGAGACCTCACTACAAAAATCCATGTGACCTGGAGAGTCTATCAAATTTATCGCATGCTCCTTGTACCGAAGAGCAATAGAAGAGCTTTTCATTGTTATTGCCCGCCTCTGCTCTTCATCCAAATAATCCATAAACCTAAGCCTACCTGCTTGCTTAGGGTGGAGTACTCCACCCCCATAGGAAGCAATCAGGTGATCAGCAAGAGTAGTCTTGCCATGATCGACATGTGCAAGAATGCATATGTTTCGAATCCTTCCACAATCAAAATCACCCATTTCTCCAGCAATATTCAATCGACCAAAACTACTGTACTTGTAACCACAGAGTATATATAAAAACAGAGAACTTGAAACTCTTGGTTCTAATGCAAGCCCAGATAGGAATATAGCAAAAGCTGATTTTGAATTCTTCAAGTACTACCCAAACTCAATAAACCCAGTACATATGCCAATAGTAAGAACCTGAATTCTCCAAGTATTGATTAACTTTAATTATTGAAACACTGAGTCCAATTCAATGAACCCTGTAATAAAATAACAATACGTATACAAAACCAAAAACCTTATTTTAAAAGGAGAAGTGAATATGAAAAAAAGGATTGTTATAGGTGCTCGGGCTTTGAGGTATGGAACGGAATGTATTTCTGTTGGGTTCTTTTCTGTGAAGAATCGGCGAAATCCTAGATATTGTAATGCTACAACAATAATACTTTTCGGTGAGTCTAACAAACATGTCTAATTTTTGATAGAAAGAAAGAGAAAGCGAGCTTTAGAGAGAAAAAGAGAGTACCGTGTTGCTTCAAGAGCAACCTTCTAACCTTCTCAATAGAGTTAGATTTCAGGTATCTCTGGAGAGAGAGAGAGATGAAACGAAGGCACAAAAACAAACTAGGGTTGCAATTTGGCGTTTAGAAGGGTATTCGTTGTACGGTCGGGTCGAGTCGGATTGGAATGGGCTGGGTTTGAAGGATCAACGGGTTCTTGGGCAATCTTGGCTAAAGCCTAAAAGAAAAAAACCAATGACTTTCTTGGGCAATTTTATAACTTTTTGCAGTAGAAATTATAATTGAAAAAGTGACGAAAATTACAACTTTAAAAATAAAATTACTATTTTTTGAGGTTAATTTACATCTTTTAAATATAAAATTATANAAATTACAACTTTAAAAATAAAATTACTATTTTTTGAGGTTAATTTACATCTTTTAAATATAAAATTATAATTAATTGACAAAAATTACAACTTTAAAAGTAAAATTATTATATTTTGAAGTCAATTTACATCTTTAAAGATAAAATTATGATTGAATAAGGGTTTCATGGTCAACAGTATCATTTCATTGTCAAAAGTTATCTACTTGTTTTTTTTTTTTAAAGGAAAGAAAATTTTATTAATATAAAACCAAAATAACACGAAGCAAATGAAGCAAATTTAAAAAAAAAAAAAAAAATCATAGTTGGCTTTAATCCTTCAAAAGTAAAATGGCAATAAAAACTTCTACATAAATCAAAAACTGGCCAGCAAAAACTCTAGCAACTTGCCTCAGCCATCTTCTTTGTTTCTGGAAAGAAATCAGCATCATCAAAAACTCAAAAAGTAGAAGAACAGCAACCCAAAAAAAAACCAGTTAGCCCTTATCATCCAATGCAACCCTCCTCCTTTTGCGCAAAACGGGCAGACCCAATTGGTCATTTGACAGAGCAACACGAACATCACAAGGCAACTCTAAATCCACTGAAAAATCCTCTGTTTTTCGTTTTCTATCAGCAACTCCGTTTGCTTCACAAAAAATATGAACAATCTGAAAATTCAAAAGCTTCAACAAGGCTCTGATTTGTCTCAAAAATTCCAGACAACTCCAGGGACAAGAAACAGCTCTCAAAACTGACTTAACTAAAATCAGTGACTTAAAATTCACTGTCCAATTAAAATTCAATACATGTTAAATTGTTATACACATTAGTTGTTAGGTTGAATTCCACAGTCCAATATATGTTTTATTTTATTTTTTGGTATGCAATAATATAATATTATAAACGATCTAATCAATTTATTTAATAAAATAAAAATTTATAATTCTATAATACAATTAGATGTGTAAATACTTAAAAAGTTAGAGAGATATCTAAATAAATGACAAATTATGTACTAAAAAACTTATAAAATAAATCAATAATTAAATTTAGCAACAGTTAATTTATTATTTAATTTAATTATACATATAATTCAATTTTTTTATAAAAATAATAAAATATTAATTTTTTATTTTATCCTTAATTATTATTATAAAGTCAATGATACCCCCCACATGTTCTTATTAATGTCATTCTCTTTCCTTTCATGTCCTATTAGCCTGCAAATTTCATTTAAACCAAAACTCGTCTTATCAGATAGCATTAAGTTTCTAACTATTTATTCACTTTTTTTAAAAAAAATTAAAATGGAGAACAATTTTATTAATTGATGGGACATTTCTGCGAGAAGATAAATCGACGACACATGTCCTCGGCATCGTTATGATTCCAGCCAGGTTTGGCCACGTGTCTTCGGTAACACTCATCCCCATCTGCCGAGGAGATAATGCTTGGAGCCGAGAGATCCCCCTAATCGGCGTGATCAACGCAGATGTCCTCGGCTCGGTAAAAATCTTGACCCCGAGGTAGACAAATGTTCCACGATACTGAGGTGTTCCTTTTGTAGGCTGGATCCAACCTCTCCTCTGCTTCTACGAAAGATAATGATTGACTTATGGCTAGCCTAGGGCAAGCTAGGCTAATCATCATGAAGACGCACTGCTCAAAGGTGTCAGGAGGAGTAGGGATGCAGAACACGCAACCAAGGAGGAGTGGACACGTGGAATTTGATATCAAATCAATAAGCAAAAAGACCTGGGTACCGCTGCTGACAAATGACTAGAGCAAGTATGCATTTAATGAATCCTCATCCTGATGAGACAGCAATTAAGGCATGGGAGCCAAGAAGTGAAGTGCATTAAAGACCCCCATACCAGGGCATTTAATACATCCTCACCGAGAAAGGGGAATTGAATGCTCGGCAGACCGAGGAGTGAGCTTTAAATGCTCGGCATCCCTGATCAGTTAAAGCAAAGCCTATTCCCCATAAAAGTGAGACGCACACTGCCCCGTCTCTGACAACTATCTGCTGAATGAACTATCAGCAATCATGAGCTTTTAAAAGTATAAATAGTTCTCAAAAACACATTGTAGAGGTACGCAATAACTACTAAAAAGAACCACAGTACTTTCTTCTTCCCCTCTCTCAAAGAACTGACTTGATCGTCGAAGAGGATACGCCAGATAGCACTCCAGCACCCTTCTAACCTGTGTTTCTGTGTTACAGGATCCCCCCACAGTCTTTCAGGACCGGTCAGGTGACCCAAAAATAATTCATCACCAGTGCTTAGAGCCCATTTGTCCCTCTTAACCTACTTCTTGTTGTCGAAACCCACTTTCGGATGGATCAAATCTCTACCAGAGGTGATCAGAAATTCTAAAATCAAACTTTCCGTTCCTTCGGAATTACTATCTTGACGAACCACAATTCATCGTGGGAGAGATCTGTTCCTACTTCTGCTGTTGTGCAAAAATCAGCAGGCACATTAATCCATCAAAAAATTTACAAGAGAATTTCAGGAGTAAGGAGCTACCCCAATAGATAGCAAACCTCTCAAAAACCAAACATTATACAAGAAACTCCAACATTGAAAGAACTAACCTAACCTTTCCCACAAATCACAATGTTCCTCTACCTTAACACCCTTAGCCTTGTCTGATCTTGGATCAATAAAAGCTTAGTTTTCGTTGGTAAAAAAACCAAAGTAGAGAAGTCAGTCAAACACCTACCTTGGACCAGGGGCGGAGCTACACTTTCACTACCCCCACTCAATTTTTTTGTTCAAACATTTTTTTTATATAAATTTTAATATATTCTAAATTTGCGCCCCATAAAAATTCATATACATTTTAATTTACTTAATAATTTCTAACATTAAGATTAAATTTCTTTACTTTATTATTGATTATTTAGTTGAATCTCTAAACATATGTTCAAGAAATTTTAGAACTTTTTGTTCTCTACCCTATATGAACCCTCTTACTCTCATTTTTGTCAATTTTGACACATTGAATGATAATATTATTATGCAATATTTTTATAATATAAAAATTAGTCAATAAGATGGTAAAAATAAGGTATACGTTGCTCCTTTATGATTTGAATGTCAAGGATTCAAGCCACAAAAAGAATACTCTCGCACATGTAGGATAAGAATATGTATATCTTACTCTAGACCTTGCAATAGCAGAAGTCATACGTTGGGTCACCTCGTTTAATTTATTATTACTTCAAAGTTTTAAGTTTTACTATTGTTAAAAAAATGTTACTAACATAATGGCCTACTTTGATAATATAACGCATTGTTATTATTGAATTAGCAAAGAGTATCCACATTAAATGCATTTTATTTGTTAATTCAACGGTAATAATGCATTAGCTTTTCCAATTGAGTACATATAGTATTGTTGTTGCTAAAATTTTTACTCCCACTACCCCAAATTTCTGGCTCCGCCGCTGCCTTGGACAACATAATTTGCCAGAAAATCAACTACATTATTTGATTCCCTGTACACATGGCTGAAGTTGAAGTCCAAACCCTTCAATATCCCAACAATATGATCCAGAGCATCCCAATGCCTCCAAGCAATTCTTGCTTTCCCTTGAATCATGCTTACCAAAATCTCAGAGTTAGATTCAATAGAAATTCTATAACCACCCAAACCATACCTCAATATCATTCTAAGATCATCCAATAAAGCCAGGCATTCTGCTTGCATATTAGTCCCTTCCCCATAGAAAAAACTTGCTGCCAGTACCATATGACCTTCAGAATTACTTAAAATCATACCCCAACTTGCAAGACTAGAATCACCTTTAGTAGCCCTATCCACATATAATTTCAAGACATCCACTGAAGGAGGGGACCAGCTCACCCAAACAACTTTAGTGAAGACATTACAAAACACTTATACATTCAAAGCCTAGAGCAATGCCCTCCCAAGTGCAGAATCTACCCTCTTAGGTTTAATAGCATAAGTCTGATAACTCAAAGAGCTCAAAATCTGCATAAAAACAAAATAAGCGCTCAAAAAAGACTCTTCAAACCTCCTCCTAAACCTTTCCTTCCAAAGAAACCAAAAAGTGAGCAAAGAGACCCTCTCACCAATCCATGACTAAGAGACTGCAAGTTAAAAATTCT